GCTGACGCTTTTGCTGTTGTAAAGTTGCTGCATTGGTTGGCAGCCAAACCAAGTAATACGGAATTTGGCTGATGAAAATTGACCCAAAATACTAAACCAAATTGTGATACATGCTCAACACGACTTGGCTGGAATGTCCTGGAAGTAATGCTGCATTAATAGGGCTTTGGTGAAATCTTATTCCTTATGCTTTGTTTACCAGTAACCAAACAAGGTTATCTGCTCCTTAATCCAGGACTGGAACCCAGTTGCTATCAGTTGATTTCCTTTTTAGTGTATAGTTCTGAAAGCAGCTTTTCTGGAGGTAGAGATAAATGCTTCAGTTTTGATTAAAATAGGGTGGAAATCTGTTTTCAAAAGCTGGAAAATGCTGCAAGAGATTTTATGAACTGTATACAGTCCTTCCTTTTGTATGTGTGGATCTTTGAGGCATACATGTTATCAGGGACCCGTGCATGAGACACTTGAGTATTCAGAGTAACTCCAGAAAGCTGCTAGGTTGTTCTTGTAAGGCCTTTCACTGATGATGATCCTGTTCTTTTATCCACTTTCTGGAAAGATATGTGATGTTTCATGCAATTTAAAACTGTTCTAATTTACTGTCATGGTCAAGACCTAGTCTGAAGATTTCTGACACTGTGAAGCTTCATAGGAAACTTGGAAGCAGGAATAAAAAAGCCTGTCACTGGAGAAGGGAGAGTGCAGAGTGAGAACAATGTAAATGAAAACATGCCAATGTGAAGAGAGCTTATTCCAAGACCTCTTATTTCCACCTATTGTCTTTGGCTGTTTAAACAGATATAAAAATCTTCACTTACTTGTCTGCAACTGCTCCTCCTCATCCCCCCTCATCTGGTAATAAGGAAATGAGACTGAAGCTGGAGTGTTATTGTCACTGCTTGATTTTGAATTGAGTAGCTTTCTTTCCTTCCCTGTATGATTTGTTTGATGCTGTACCATGTCAGTGATACCGTTGCAGCTAAGAAGTGACACATAAAGTACATTTGTTGATTTTGGTCCGGTTAGATTTACATCCTGAAATATACCACAATAGTAGATTTATTTTCTCCCACTTCTCATTCAGGTACATGACTGACTTAGATGGGGAGACATGACTTTGGTTTAGGTATGGTAACCACTGATTCTAGATGTTGGTGCATTAAGTGTCGTGTTTAAGATGAACGCTTTAAAAATGATTAAAAGAAAGTTCATTACCTGTTGATATCACTGTCAGTTAATGAGGCTTTAAATGCTTTAACTAAGATGAAATGTTACATGGTTCAGCCTTTTTACTGGGTTGTGTCTAATGAACGTTCACATGATGCTGTATGAAGAAACACCTTCTCTTAGCATGAGATCCTTCCATCCTAACCTGTATAGCTAGCCTGAGTGAGGTGGGAGGTTGTAACTCATTCAAGTAAGTTTGAGAGGATGATTCCTTTTCAAAGGAATCAGAATGTGGCTTTTGATATGCTACATCTCATTCTAGTGCTTATGTTAATTACAAGGAAGGTTTTCACAGTAACTGTTGCATTCTGTGAGATAACTTAATGCACAGGTTGCATAGCCTGAGTGGAGTGATAAGAGTAAGGGTGGCTGAATAGATTTAAACGTTTCTTATGTATTTATGGGTTTGGTCAGTAGTCTCAATCAGCCTCTATCTAACCAGCCTGAAGAGTGGTGGTGGATGGAGTTCAGTGCAGTTGGTGTCCAGTCACAAGTGGTGTTCCCCAGGCCTCAGTACTGGTGCTGGTTCTATTTAGTATCTTTATCAATGATCTGGATGAGGGGATCAAGTGCACCCAGTCTTCAGGATTAGTGAAATGTAGCTCAAAACATGGTCACTTCCTCAGGAGAATGCAGGTATAGGGGTCGACGTCACTGGTTTTAAGTGTTATGTTCTTTGCTCAACGTTTTCATGTTTTAAAATATAATTCAAATTACAGTTAAATTTTAGTTTACACCAATATATTGATTTGGTAGTTAAGCCTTTTAAAAGAGAATCTCAAAAAGCCCATAGGATTTTGCAGAACTATGGTTCTGTGCAATCCATGTACCCTTTTTGACATGATAAAGTGCCCTTGTGGCATTGGCTGTTATTTCAAGGCCCTCCATGAAGCCCCTTCTGGGGGATCCTCCTTCCAGTCTACCTATAGTGTGTGCTTGCCAGTAGCCCAGAATAGCTGAGCTGACAGCTTCCAGCAGGACACACTGTCCTGTAGGTGTCAGGGCTCGGGGCTGGTGTCATGTGAGCTGTGCCGTATCTCTTTTCAAAGCTGGTATTTCGTTCGTTCTTCTTCCTTTGCTTCCAGCTGTAGTGCTTTAAGCAAACAGTGACCAGACCCAAATACTCCACCTAATACATTCCCGTACGTGCTGGTGGCTTCCAGGCTGCCCTGCACTGTTAATTGCCTTCCCGTTGTCTAATCCATTGTGGTAAAAGTAATTGTACCTTGAATTTCCTTGTGGCAGCTGGAAAGTTATGGTTCTCTGAGGAATGTCCCAGATCTGTGTGCGATCAGATGACTCGTTCTCGTATTCAGAAATAACTCCCTTTTTGAGCTTTAGTCCTTTCCAAAGGCAGGACACGGTAGACACGATGTTTGGTCAGTGTTAGACTACAGACATTTCACATGACACTGCCTGGATATGCCTTTTAATCTGGAGGCTGTAAATGTGAAATTTCTGAATCCCTTTGGAGATCAGTAGTGAGAAGCAAGGCCCTTGGTGGCCTGCAGTCCATAGCAGGGTGTTCTCTGATCTTGTGAGCTGAGAGAGAACACCTGGTACATTCTCCCTTCAAGTAAACAGCCTTTCTTCAAATCCTGAATAATAAAAAAGATAGAAATTTCATAGGACAGTTGAATGTTGATATTAAGAGACATATTTTTACTTCTTATGTATTCACCTGGTTACTAATAAAGCCTGATACTGAAGGAATCTTAAAATCACACTAGTTTTATCCTTCTCTCGCTGGAGTTTCATAGGACTGACTTTTAAAAACCTTTTACTGAGAGCAGCCCATGTGTTAGCCTAGTTCTGTGCAGCAGGTCCTCCAGCTCCCACAACTCTTTTTTTTCTAGTGAGTGCTTTGTTAGAGTGAAAGTTCATTTGCTTAAGAAACAGGACAAGCCTTTTCTCATCTTTCTCCCTGATAATGTGTGTGTACGTGTTAGAGTAGCTGGTGTTGGGAAAGATCTGCCAGAGCTAAAAGCTTATTTCACTGACTACTGGTAAAAGAGCCAAGCACAACTTGCTAGAGAAATTCTTCTGCATCATATTTTCTCCCCCAAATATTTAAAATACCTTTTGTATTTTAAATTAAGAGTTAGTCATTGCCCAAGTGCCAGGCATGCACTATTAATACACTAATGAGGTCAGGTTGTGCTCTTTCACTGAATGAATACTTGCCAAAACTCTTGAAACAAGTTTCTGCAAATGCTTGTGTTGGCCACTAAATCTTCCCTTGTCACTATTAGGCTTCTGGTCACTGCTAAGGATGGCAACAATGTGACTCTAAATGACGTACTACCTAGTGTGTGTGTGTGAATAATGAATAACTGGCTATGAATAACATTATTAAATAAGCCCCCAAACCTTCACAACAGCCCTTTGTGGGGAAAGGGCGTTTGTGTATTTATTGTGCACATTCTGTATATGCTGTGAATGTACTTTGAGGACCAGAGCCTGCCCCACACTGGCGTGGAGCAAGTTGCACTGAGATCTGCTCTCAGTGTCCCCTGAACAGCTGATCAAATTACCAGGGTAGTTGTTGGGCAGTTCAGGAAGCCAGTTCCTTTACCTCATTCAACCATATGGGAATTTCTCCTTTATAAAAAAATCTGAAGAATGGAAACCCACTACCACACTTCCAGTTCCTTCTGGTTGGTTTGTGTTAGGGTTGATGATAACCTCTCTTTTGAGCCCTCTCACCCAAATACTGGTGTCTCTTCTTCCTGTTACTCATGAGTTTTTATATATTTATTTGTTTGTATATATTGGGTTTATAATACTGCTCAAAACAAAACTAATCTCGGCGTATTGTGAAATAATTTGATTCAGGATAGACCAAGAGGAGCTGTGTATGTTACAAGTGCCAGATTTCACAGCTCTTCACTAGCTATGCTGCCAGCATAAATGAAGGTTCAGTTTTGTTTGTTGTGACTCAGAACTTCACAAAGGAGATTTTCACGCTTGAGGGAGGGAGGGGAGACTGAATTGGTCTCTACAGGGTGAGGGATAATTTGAGATGGTGAATTTATTTTCACCTCCTTACACTAAGCTCTGTATTTGATCGCTTCTATTAGATTCTCTTTTCCAACACCACATCCTTTTAATTTCTGTAGTTTTTGTAGGACATTCTGCTAGACAATTGTGCTTAGAATTGTTGTAGGTAAAACTGGAACAAAATAATTAATGGAAATTTCCCTTGTTTGTTTGTTTATTCCTAGAATAATACTTTGATCTCACTGAATCTAACATGGTTTCTAGCCGCTGCTTCCTGTGGCTTACCAGTTTGCATGAAAACTTTTAATTTCAGAGTGGAGAAGAGAGGATGTGGGTAATGCTACACTTTTAGGTTGTCTTTGGCCAAAGAAAGCTGCAACTCGTCTGGTGGGACTTTTTGTCACTTCTGTTTTACATATGAAAATGTGCTAACTTCTCTTGAGTTGTGCACTAAGTGCCTGGTACAATGGGGGATCATCTCAGTTCAGCTGTTCTAGGGGAGTTAATGCCTGCCACTGTTAGAGTTGACAAAAGTGATATCTTTCATAGATAACATACCACTGACCAAATAAACCCATTTTCTGCTAATTTGCTTATTATGAAGTGACACCAGTTATATTTGTGGTATTGGTGTTTTTGGTTTTTAATCTGAGGAGAGCAATGGTAGCTTTGACCTGTTGCTGCTTCCAGTGCTGGGTGGACAGTGATGACACTTCTCTCTCCCCTTTCTTTTAACTCCAGCAGAACTGTGAGGCAGAGTTTGGTATGATACCATGGAAGGGCAGCATAACCATCCACATCATCTAGGGGACCAGAACAACCCTCTTTGCAAGCTGCCAGGGCAGGAGTACCAGCATGATCCTCAGGTAAGTACATGTGTGTGTCTCTTCTTTTTCCTTTTGTGTTTTCTTCCCTTACTTTTACAAAGGTCTATAGATTACTTGACATTTAGCCTTCTTTTTTTCCTCTCTTGTTTATAGTGCAGTTAGAGCACTTTTAGAGTATATCCAGTTTGGAATTCTGCCAGCCTGCCAGAGTTTCCTGAATCCAGTTTTTTGATGATAATAAGAGAAAAAGGAAATAGCTTGAATTTTGCTTAAAGCAAGTCTTTTTAAATCATCTTATAAAACCATGTATTGGGTTGGCTTTCTCTTCTCTCTGGTGCTTTGAAGAAAAGGCCAAAGAAAAGCAATTGATTGTGTAAGTGAATAAATGTATTTTATCTGCTTTTATAGTTGAATAATAAATGCTGAAGAAGTAATTACCAAATACAAGAAAAAGTTCATCCTACATGAAACTGCAGGCTCTCTGGCTTCATTTCCTGTGCGGCTCTGGAATCTCTCCTGCAATGTATTTTGTCTATACTATTATCAAGTTTCACTACTGTGGCTCATATCTCTCTCCCTTCCCTGCCTTCCTGCAGAAGTGGGCTTAAAACTAGGGTTAGACATGCATTCAAAGTGATGGTGGTACCTTCACTGGAATCACGAAACCTGTACTTTGTGAATTGTGGCTGCTTGCCTTTTTTAGGCTGTTTTGTCCATTGATCCGAGCTATTGAGTTTTATCTATATGCATTTTAAGGAGTAAACAGAAAGCATCATGGAAAAGCTGTCAGAAAGAAGGATATTGCAACTGTGGTGTAATGTCACCTTGGGAATCAATTTGTCATACCAAATGCACAGTCCAGTGCTGATCCAGGTCCTTGACCGAGAGGTGGTTGTTAGGAAAGCTGGATCCAAACACGGTGTAAGATTTGCAAAAGCCATAAGTTGCCTACACACAGAGTACAACGATGAATGTATCTTGCGCAGCACTGCTGGGAAAGTAACGTCGTATGGAGCAAAGCCCCCCTCTCCTAATGTAGCAATTTGTCATATTAAGTCATTTAATAATAATTGAATCCCCTTGATTAATCTCCTAGAATTAGCCAGTTGCATTTTGAGCAATTAGGGTTAATTACTGCCTCATTTGGCAGGATAGAGCCCCTGTAATTATTTCATGAACAAGATTAGGAAGTGTTCCTGTGCAGCAGATACATTCATGGCATCTTGGAGCACATGTTAGAATTTGTAATGACATAGTTAAGTGTAATTAGTAGCTAATAATCTGTGTTCTGCTGCTATGCTGAAGCAGAGTGGGCTCGTCTTGCTGTATGGTCATTGTTCAGTGAAACCTCCCCTCAACTCTCTTAATACCCAAGTTGTGTTAATGGAAGTCTCTGAGTATATTAACTGCTCTGAGGATGATCTCATTTAGAATTAGGATTGCAGAAAGGATTTCTTTGGTTTTGTTGTTAAAATACATTTTTAAAAAAACTGAGTAACAAAGACGGAGTCTACCAGAGAACTGAACAAAATGTGTCTCCTCAGCAAACTCAGTTTAAAAATTGACAAAAAATGTCCTGTTTAGAGGCCAGGCTGCCTGACAGTGATGGCATGACATGATTGCTTATTACTGATTTCTGATTTTCCATTTTGCAGGAACATAATTATATATAATTTTCCATTTTCTGGTACCTATTACCTGGAAGACTCCAAAATTACATCATTTCTTTCTTCTGAAGATCTAAGTAATGCAGACATGTTAGATAATAGCTTGTGGAAGAAAGAGAGGTTTAAGAAGGAAAAATTGACCAAACTTGTCTTAACAGAAATGCTGTGAATGGCAGGTATTAAAGCTTAAGCATCAAAACCAGAAGTTGAGTTTGTAGAGTATTGGATGATGAGAGGTTTTTTTCAATCTGACAGAGTTGTTATTTTTGGTTTACAACTAGTTAGTATAGGGCTATGAGTATATCAGGCTTTTCTTTCTGTCTTTACTATAGCAATAAGATGACACACTTGAGTAATGCTTCATATTTAGAAGTTTTCTACAGTAAGTCAATATGTAAATATAAAAAGAGCCAATAAAATCACAGAGCTTGCTTCTGACTCTCCTGCCTGCCCAGCATTACCCTGATGAAGTTAGTCAGCAAGAGGCAGAACATTTTCTAGTCATGTTCCAGAGTGAAAGTCAGTTATTTAAGTCTCTAGACTACTTAGTGTTTATAGCAATAAGCAATTAAAGTTATTTAGAAGTAAATAAGTGATATAAAAATACAGAGCTATGATTTTTTTACTTAGTTTTCATACTAAATAAACACAATAACTCACTTTTAAACAACCCTTTTATATACTCACAGTTTTAGCAGCAGAGCTGCTCATGGTAGTTTCATTTTGGCCTGTGAGTTGGAGGTGGATTTGAACTGGTCATCTTGCAGCAAAGGCTTTTCAGTTTGTTTCTGAAATGCTAAGGTTATTTTTATGTTAATGTTGATTTCTTTATGACTATCATCTTGGGTCTACTATTTTCAAGCTGGTATTTCTATTTTTCCTTGTCATAAGCCAGTGCAAACATCTGCTGATGGGGGTCATAAAACTTTGAAATTCAAGCCGAATTCTCCAGCAAACTTCAAATTCTAGGTAGCAGGTCAGGTTGAGGATATTTTATGACTGTGTAGTCTAGTTTTGAAGATGCAAATTGAAAAACCTGATGTATCCTTCAATAATTACTTGACTACCTGTTTGAAGGATAATCCATATTTAAAAGTTTCCTCCTCTTTTGGGAGCTTAGAAGTTCTTAATCAATCTGTTCTAATGTGAATAGATTCATGCTGGAATTTCAGCCTCAAAGTATGCAAAATTATTTTCAGGTAGGCATTATGGAATGGAGATGGATGTATAATTTTGGACATCATAAAGAGGTTTGAAACACTGATGTTGATAGTAAATCATTGCTTATAATGTATGTGTGCTCAACTGGAGGGGCTGAAGCTCCCCCATCTACTATCGCAGATGTCTTTTAAAGGTGAAATTAGTTTATGGTAAATGTCATTCAGATGAAGTATGCACTTTAGAAGCAAGGAAACCATTCCTTTAAAATTAATGATGCATTGCAAATATCAGAAAAAAACCTTCTATCCAGCATAAAGATAATTAAAATTCAGGTCAGAAGTGTATGACTTAGTCGGGCTAAATTTTTTAATGAGATTTCAGAAAATTAATTGGGCGAGTGTGTTTTTACTCTTCTAAGGAATATCTCATTTCATGGCTCTACAGGAAAGATGCTTTTATTGGCATCTGAAGATTGTAGAGTCTGACTTTTTAACTGTTGGTTACCCAATCTGTAACAATTTTTAGGTTGATTATAAATAATCTAAACATCTCGTGACCATTTGTGCAGGCTGATGACTAGTGCTGGTTTTTCCCGCATGCCAATCAGACAGCAATAGAACAACTGACTTTACTATTAATTAACATTAGCACTCTGGGTTTGTATATTGTGCAATTAGCAGTGAACATTCCCCTTTTTCAGCTCAGAGTTATTTTTTTCCTGTGCCACTGGGAGAAGCAGTCACACACAGGCATTGCTATGCAGCATGTCAGTATGTTACTGGTGGCTTTGTCTTCAGTCTCTCAGTATACTCTCCTTTGCCTGCAACGTTGAGTTGGAGGCTGCTGGGTAGTTTAGGTTTTCCCCAGCTCTTAAATAATTACAAAGAAGTAAATTTATTGGCCAAATATTAATTGTTCTGGAGATTGAAAGTCTATCAACAGAACAGGTCTTTTCTTTATTAAAAAAAAATAATACAAATTTTGAGCTGTTCAACTACTCATTTAAAATAATACGAAACTTGGATTCAGATGATGTAGCTGTCCTACCTGCATGTGGCTATAGAAGTGTGTGTAGGATTCAGAGGAAACTATTAAATCTTCAGCTCTAAGTTTTGGCCTGTTTGTGTTCTTGTGTGTTCAGAGAGTCAGTCAGGTACCTCTGGTAGCACTGTGGCAGACATCCCCAACAATGTGGAAGCATAAGTAGAAAGTACATCCTGTCACCTTACTAATTCCGTTTTACAGAAAATTATGTAACACCTCAAAATTGGAGGCTGAAAGTTCTGGCAAACTTGTGTTAGTGTTGTGACAGGGGCTGCCGTGGCATCCTTCTGCCAGCTTTGAAAGTTCTGCTCTCGCATCAGTGATTACATCTCAAAGATGTAATCTTGTGTGCCAGAGATGTTCTTAATAGCTTGTTCTTGGAATAATCTCTGCCTTTCTTTGTAAAAATGAATAGCCTCTTTATTTGAATGAGGAATTAATTTACTTTTATCTTCAGCTTTTTTTTTTAAATGGAGAAGTAGAAGAATGAGACTTCATTGTATGGATAAAAAGAACAGCCTTTGTCTCAAAACTAGTTCTTCCGAGACTGTTCTCTTCCTACAGCTGCCCTGGGAGCAGAAATGTGCAAACAGCCTGGTTTTCATAGTGCCTTTAGAGGTCCAGTGGTTGGATGGGATTTTTGGTTGGTTTTTTTCTTTCCCTTTTTTCTTTTTATATCTCTTCTTTTTAATTCAAACTCTATCATTGACCTTGAAGCCTGTTCTGCAGAGACAGTGGCTTGGTTTTACTGTATTCACACAGACTTGAACCCTTCACCGAGCCGGAATCCATCCTGAAAATGAGAAAATCTATTTTTGATGAACAGGTTTGAAGGTGATGGGGTATCTAATTTGACACACAATTTATATCTGTATATGAGAACTCTCAGATTGAAGAAACAAAGATCATGGTGTATTTAAATAATAGATATTGTTTCTTTGAAAAATGGTAGTGGTTAAATGTGCAAGGACTTGGGAAAAGTCATGAAATAAATGAAATGTATGCAAGGTAGGACTAAAGGGATGGTACTCTGAGAAGGTACATATTTCTTAGGTATTCTTGACCTTGTGACAGTATTTGGAAGCATTACCTCTTATGTTTAAGTAAAGTAAAGCATAAGAGAAGGTTAAGTTTAAAGAGACATAAGGGAAAATGGACTGCTGAAATCCACAGGGAGCTTTCTGGCATGGTTGGGTCTAACCTGAGCTTGTTCTCTGGTTTATACCGAAATCAAACCTCTTCCAGCCTGCATGAAAGCTCCAAGCTCTGTTACTTTAATTAGGTCTGATAGGTTGTGATAGCGAATGCAAATCTAGGTCATTGCATATGTAAATATGCAGCTGTAGTCCTGGAGGATGCCAGAACATATCAGCTAAGGTGTCCAGTCATCACCCAGCATTAACTCCAGCATGGCAAGCAGACTTTATGTGCTAACCATGTGAAAGTGGTTAGGACACACACATACACCCTGTCACTTCCCTAACACTTATTTATATTTTCAAGTTAAGAAGTTGCTAGATACTTCTTGGCACATGCTTAAAATATTAATTTACACTTAAACACTCTTAGTTTTAACGCACGATTTAATGATTTATGAAGGGCAAATGGATACCATCCTTGACTGCAGCATGGATTTCTTCCTTTAAAAGAAAGTTTTGTGGTAGTTGCTTCGTAAAATCTCATTAAAACTGCTACCTTTATTGTGAGTGTTAAGTTAGAAAAGCTTTTGCTCAGTGTTCTTACAACTCAACAAGAGCTGGCTCCGGAGGCACATGTTCACAGTTAAAGAAATGCTTTGATTCCTTTCTATTTTTTAATTAGGAAAAAGTGTTCTGTAATTTTATGTACTGACACCTTTGTTTTGGCTGGATAAAGCAATCTGACTGGACAGCTCAATTCATTTCCTTAGTAGCTCATATGTAAAAAAGTTGGGAAATGGAGATATTAGTTACCAGTCAAGTTGAACAGATCCTTGGATTCAGATGTTCTTCTGGTGATACCTAAACTGAGAAAGCTGCAGGGGCTGATTCCTTTGCTTGTCAGGTTTCATCCCATGTTGCCTTGCTTTGTTCATGATTTAGTTACTTAAAGGGGAATGTGTGTAAATAATAATGTAATGTTATCTTAACATTCTGCGATTTATCTGATGACCCATTGGCTCCCTTTTTCCTCATCCATGACAGGATACTCTTGTTTTATTACTAAGTATACACTGCAAAGCTTAGAGAAACAAATCCTGGATCTTCAATTTAATTTTTACTTTGCTGTGTTGTTACAGCTTGTAAATGCAGTGTCACTTCAAGCACAGCACAGGTACTGAGGGTAGCTTACACAAACTGGCAGTCAGTGGTGGCTGTGCAGTAAGGTGGGTAATGGGGCTTCTTTCACAGTATAGGGAAGACCGAAATGATCTTAAAAGGGAAACTCCCTGAACTCTTGAAAGGAAACACTTGATGAAATGAGCTTCCTATTTCTGTGATGCACCTTTGTAAATAAGTGCAAATTCTCGTGCACCCCTCCTATTTGTGTGGGTTGTTGCACATGAATTAAAATTTTTACTGTGCCATCTTTAGCCTAGAAAAACGAAAACCATTTCTCATAGCATGAAATACTTAAATGCTCATGGAGATAGATGGAAAAACTTACCTGTGGCCTTGGCATTTCACAAGTAATTAGTCAAAGCGCTGTTTCATCTGAAAAGGAGCACAGGTTTGCTCTTTTAGGGAGCTTAAACTGAGAAGGCTGATGATCGTGATGGCCTGGAGTTACATTCCCAGTTATGTGCCTACTTGGATTAGCAGGCATCGGCTGGACACCATGACACCATTTTTGTCTTCTCTGGAGTTCATAACTAAACTTCTCAGTTTAGCAGCTATCATCTCTTCTCATAACTGCAGAGCTTTATTCTCAGGAAGTTCTCAAGGGTGCAGGGCACTGGTGTGGAAGTGCAGGGCAAGCTCCAGCAACAAACAGCCTTTCACTGCCAGAGATGAGGGGGAAGGTGATGGCAAAAAGACCTGATAATCTTTCCAGTGCCTGGTTTGTGGTTTATGTCTCATCTCTGTATCCTCAGCATTTATAAAAACAGTAATTTTTCTTGATGCCTGCAGTGGAGCAGCCTTTGTAGCAGGGATTTCTCTTGTTTGTTGTGATAATGCTGTAAAGGTGTCAGTTTTCAAAAGAGCTTGTCTTGGTTGATTGATGCAGTTTGTGGGTCAGAAATGACTATTTAGGGGACTTTGTTGGGGACTTTTCTTAAAAACATTGAATTTATAACTTTGTTTACAAAACCTCTGGCTAGTAACTGTGAGTGTAGTTCAGAGTTGCACAGACACCTGGAAATCTGGAAGCTTTTTCAAATATCTCATTGATACTTTTTATTGTTTGTTGAATAGTAGTCATTTTTCTTTCTATTGCAAAGAGCAGCAGCCCAAACTTACTTAAATATACACTGTAAGAGATCCTCACTCTCTTGTGTGTACTGCTGGCAAAAGATGCTGGGATGAAAGCTTTACCTGCATTTTAAATGCTTCCATCCACACCCATCTGTGTCAGGAAATGACAGTGGTAGCAATAGTCATCTCCTTAAAACATCCAGTCCTCCTGGCCTGCCCTCCCTGGAAGCTTGTACTGGGATGTCTGCTGAGGATCCAGCTGTAAATGGTGTCTGCATCCTTTGGAAGCCCTCCCCCCAACTTCTGTTGTGTACTTGTTACTAGTTTTATGTGTTGGTTAATGTTTTTGCACAAATCTCTGCTGTTCTGTGTGTGTGCACTTGCAGGTGGATGCTACACTTCAGTATTGTGGCTGCTCTGGTACAGTATTGTCTGAAGTGGACAAAGAAAATTCTGGGTGGAAAAGGAAAGCCAGACCACTCCCTTGTCCACTGTACATCAAATTTGTTTGTCTTTCTTGCTGGTCAGTCCTTACTGTGAGGAATTTATCCTTCTGAATATGTTAAGTCATAGAAATCACTACTTTGTAGTCCTAAGGAAGACATTGGGAATGCAAATTCATGGCTTTGCATCACCTTTTCTAGTTTATTCATTTAATTTCTTTTGTCTTGCACAGAGACATTTAACATCGTACCCATATCGCTGCACATTGGCAGATTTTCAGATAGAGAAGAAGATTGGACGAGGACAATTCAGTGAAGTTTACAAAGCAACTTGTCTTCTGGACAGAAAACCTGTGGCATTAAAGAAAGTTCAGGTGAGTGTTCGAAGTTCAAAGTCTTACTATTTAGCAAGTAGAATGGGAGCGGTTTAAGTGTCACACAGATTACTTTGAGTCAGATACTTGTTCCAGTATTCTTTGTCAGGAGTAACAATGCAATAAAATGCTTTGTAAATTGAGAGTTTAAGGTTTGGGAGCAGTGGATGATCTGGTTTAACGTTTTTATATTTGAAAACCCCAATGTTCTACTTTCTTATTTTATCCATTTGGGGTTTAGAAGTTAATTTGGTTGTTTTTTTATTACTTATTTCAAGATAAGGAGTAAAGAATAATGCTTCTAAAGGTCTCAAAGCAGTTTTACAGATACTGATTAAGTCAGGTTAGTTTCATAGCGTTCAGCTTACATCTGGATACAGGAGGCCAAGTGGTCCTGCTGCCTTGGCTCCGTCCTTGTGGTGATGATCTCCATACAGCCTGTATATCCTACACGGGACCCTGCTTCCATTTGAGCCATCTGTTTGCACTGCATGGTCTTTATCCCTCATTGTCTTGGAGTGGGCTTATGTTTCTAAATCAGAACTATGAAGCAATGGTGCAATTACATTTATTTCTCATTTCACTTTTTACTTTATAAGAAGGATTCACTAAATATCAGAATTAAGTATGTGTGAAGGAATGAGGCCTTCATGGCCGTGCTTATGCAGGTAGGAGGCTGCCATCTCATCACTGATAGTCACGACAACACAGAGTGAAAAATGCCTGCACTTGCTGATGGAGTGTTAGAAGAATTTCTGAACAACTTTCATGCAAACTATACTTCGTTTAAGTATTGTGCAGTGTTCAGAACAGCACTTTGTTTGAAGGAATTTGCCTTTAATCCTTCAGCAGATCCTTAAAACTCTTACTTCTAGTGACTAACTCTCTTGATTACTACAGAATGAATATTAATGTCTATATTATTGTTAATTATTACAGAGAAATCAGTGGAAGCTGTATCTCTGTTGAAAAGAAAAAAGTCAACTTTTTTATCTTACCATGTGGAATTAATACAAACTAAATGATGTTTTGAAAATCACAAGAGCAAATTCCTTATTTTTTTGTGCTGCTTAGAATATTGCTACAGGTTCTACAATTAATTTTACCCTATTGTTGGCCCTTTAGCAGTTTCAAAACTAAAGAAAACCTTGATCTTGCTTTGATCTGGGGATTGTGTGAATACTCATTACAGCAGAAAATACACAAATTGGGGGAGGAAAGACCAATTTTTAAAATACAAAATTATTTTTTCATTGTATTTTTCTTGTATGTTTTTGTCTTTGAAGATTTTTGAAATGATGGATGCCAAGGCTAGGCAAGATTGCATTAAAGAAATTGACCTCTTGAAGGTAAGAATTTTTACAATGACTCTCTTTTTTGATTTAAGAAAAAACCTCTTTTCAGATTGGCAAGGGTCATTTGCCTTTTTATGGCAAATAAAACTTACATAGTACATACAATGATCTTAAAAGACCATGCTTTCTTTTGTAAGCTAGAATGTCTACGTGATGCAAGAGTTGTGGTATTTTGGGGTTCTAGGTAATTTAAATGGTTTTGGTTTGAACTCTGGTTATAGAACATTATAAACTGGCACTGGATTTATTCAGAGCAGAATGTGTGAATTTATTAGAAGCAGAGGAAACTCAAAGTACCCACAGTGACAGGAGAGTCCAGAAGGTCAGCTCCCAGCTCCCTGCATGGGATGACCAGAGGCAGCTTACCTTCTTGAGTGAAGCTCATCAAGAAGCCAGACACCAAACCGGGGTTATCAGAGCAGCTGAGTTCTGAAAGGGAATATGCTATCTGCTGCTGAAGTCATTTAAATTATATCTCACTCTCCCCATTCTAATAACATCACCAAAGCTCTCTGGTCAAGCTGTGGCAGTATTAGAAGCCTGATTCAGCTCCTTTTGAAGTCATAATGTTGTATCTGTCTCTGAGAGAATGTAAGTTTAAAATCTCTGGCTGGAATGAAGCACTATCTGTGTGTATTCTGACCATTGAGGAATTAGTGATGGAATTGCATAGACTTGCTGTAGTCCATTTCTGTCAAAATAATACTTTGTCTTTTTTGATCAAAGATTTCTCTGTGACCATGAAAACAAAGGGGTTTTTTTTGTGATCTGTAAGTGAATTATGATTATTCAAAATTTACCAGAAGCCAGACAAAACTGTGTCTTACTCTCAGTGTAATTCTGGCTAAAAGGTTTCGGTAAAGCAGCTCAATAATGTGGCTGTAATCAGTGTTTGGGCTGCCAGCACCCACACTCACTCATTTAGAGGTGGCTTACCCTTCCACATGCCTCTTGCTGACAGTGCTGCTGTGCATACACATCAGGCATTAACTGCCATCACGCTTTGAGGATGCATTAAAGAAATAGGGAATGTCATTAACCCAAGAGAAAGTGTTTGTGATGTTTGGTGCGTTTAAGAATCTGTGAGAATGAATACACTTTCCTCCTGACAAAAGAAAAGTCCGGTAGCCTTTTCCATGCCACGTGAATATACAGTAGTTGAGAGTCAGGTATATTTATTTAAAATAAGTTTGACAAAAGAAGAAGTGGAGAATGGAAGTTTGGCTTCTCCAGAGTGATCAACCTGGCTATTCTGGGAAAACAGAACTGGAACATGTTAGTGTAGTAGCTCTCCCAGCAGTGTGTGGGCTTCATTCCCTGTTATAGTTGTAGTATTTTGATGTGTTTTGTTGGCATGTTGTGCTGAGGCTTAGAAAAAGGCTTGACTGCCTGAACTCCCCGATGCCTTTGGGAACTCAGGAGAGAGTTCCCTCAGAGCATCCTAAAGAGGACAGAAAGCATCTCTTAAACCCAAGGCTTCACTGCACCTACGAGAACAGCACACAGCACCCAGCATCGGGTCTGCCATCACAGTGTGTGTGATGGTGTGGGGAAGGCACCCTGATGTGTGTGAGGAGTCAGGGGCTGCTCTGCTTGTGGTTTTGGTGCTGCTTTTTCACTGGAAGTTGGTCTTTGATCAGTGCACTTGAGAGCAGACATTTACAGGAAATTTCAGCAGAAATGGTGGGCTGTGACTGTTATTTATTTAAGGCTTGGGCTTGTGGGCATGTTCTTCTCCTGATGCCTGCACATGGATCCCATTAAGGCTAATGTGTGCTAGTGGCACAGCATTGCAAGGGAGAATCTATCCCCTAATGTGCCTGCAGAGAGGAGTGATTAGTGTGATGGATCATAACAGCGTTTCTTTTGGCTTTGTAACCCCTGGAATAGACAGGTTGAGTCACAGCTGTTTAGTAGACGACATGCTCACTTCAGGAGTTCCTAAATTTACTGCATTTCTAAGAGCACAAGAGAGAGAATCTGAAACAAAATAAGAGAGTGAATAGAGACATTGAGATACTGCATTATTTTTTAAGCAGTTACAGTTTTCCACCTTAAGAAATTCAGACATAAAATATTAAACCAGCAATTTAATTTGAGCCTGTTTCTTAACTTGTGAATGAAGTGAAACAATTTGAGAAGATTGGAAGAAACATGGAAGAAAAAAAACCCCTTAAGTATCAATTGTGACTATAAGAACCCATACTCAAATGGAAAAAGTAATTAGTAAAGATGCAAGCATAAAGAATCGGAAAAAGAAACTGACATATGCAATTTGTGCATTGTTTTCCTCCATCAGAGTTTTATTAAAGCTGTTCTTCTAAGGGGCGAAGAGATCTCAAGAAGCACTGTAGTCAACAGTTGGGTTTTTCTTTATATTTAATGCAGAAAAAAATCAATTATTGCTTAACAAAGCTTCTTTCAGGACATTACTTGTAAATATTTTGTGAGGTTAAAACGGAAAAGGTTGTTTCACACTGCTTTGGGCTGTATTGCTCTTTACTCAAGACACTTATTATGCTGTGCTTATGATAAATGAGACTTCTTGCAGGATTTTTGTCTGTAGTAACTCAGAGCACGGTTTGTGATTGCCCCTGTTGTGAACTGTTCTGCATAGTGATTACAGAAGCAGCCACAGGTTTTGTATCTTGGCATTTGCTACTATGGCGTTAAGTTTTCTTCTTGCATTCCCTCTTATTTGCAGCAACTGAACCACCCCAATATAATTAAGTATTTGGATTCTTTTATTGAAGACAACGAACTTAACATTGTCCTGGAGCTGGCTGATGCTGGTGATCTCTCCCAGATGATTAAGGTAAGGATGTGCCAGTTCCAGAGGTGCTACCAACTGTTGGGATTAGGCAGACAGAGACACGAGGCGATGGGCACATCTGTGCTAGAAGCGCTTTTATTCTCTTCTCACAGTCCTGCTCACCCACAGGGTGCTTCCAGAGCCAAAACCAAAGTGTCTGGTGACATTATAAATACTCCAGGCTATGCTGCTTGCTTCTGGTCGCTGCTTTCGAAGGGAGCAAGCCTCTGCATGGTTTGGTGGGACGTGTGTGTTATTTGCAAGGTTGATTTATGCAGCTTGTGACTGATAGGGACATTTAATTATTGCTAGATTCACTATTCACATAGCCTGTCTGCCACTCTGCAGACATTCAAGAAAGTGTATTGACTTTCTTGGCGATGGGGATTTGGGTTTGAGAAAATGTTTCAAGTACTTGTTCTTCTTTTATGTTGCTCTTAGGAATACTTGTATTGCTGCAAACCAGCTTTAGTTAAGCTGTTACCACCTGCTTTTATATTTTCTTTGACATGTTAATCTTTAGACATACATCCCTTGTGAGAACAGATGTGTTATATCAAGTTTGTTAGCACTCTCAACCTTCTCTCCATGTTTTACCTGTTTTTTTGCCATCATTATTCTGTAATTATCATAAATGAATGTTTGGAAAGTTCTCCTCCTCCTTGTTGTCACAGTTAAAATATCTTATTAACAGATTTGTTTTCTTTGCCAGCAGAGCAATGAGGCACTAGGCCAAAGGCTGTCAAACAAGTTACCCATTTAGTCCATAGTCAATGGCTAAATTTACAGTATCCATGAAAATCTGCTCCATCTCACAATAGAGTCCCCCTGGGCGAGTGAGTTGGGAACAGGCAGTTGGCAGAGCTGCTCCTGGGGAGAGCCCCAAAATTCCAGATACAGCCTCATTCCACAGCGCTCAGTATCAGGAATGATGGTTCTGCACCAAACCCCAGTGACTTGCATCAAAGGATGTCAGGGTCGTGGTTCTGCTCACTGAGGGTTGTGGGGACAGAGCTGGTCCTTCTGCCTGGGGAAAGCTTGTGTGTATTTTTATCTTATGTTTTCTTGTGGCTTCTTGTATGTTTTAGCCTTTTCCCAACAGATCCTGGGAAAATTGCAGTTTCTCTCAGGCTTTTTGTAGTTGTGGTTAAAGATGGAAAAAAAAGTGAGGATTGTAGGAGCAGGAGTTGGGGCTGTGATTGTCCTGGGGTGGGCAAGTGTTTTTCTTGATTTCTAGATGTTAGACTATAAAGTTTTACCTACGTAATTTTTAGAGATCATCATAGAAAATATTTACAGTTTTTGTCACTTACAGTTTTTAATTTAAAACATTCCCTACTTACAAACACATTAACTTACCTGTCAGAATTGGGTATTTAATTTTTTTAAGTTACCTTTTATCTCTTTCTAATTAGAAGTTACATTTTCCCAAACCCCAGTTTGTAGATTCTGACGTTGATAACTCAGCACTGTAACTTCCATTCTTTCTGCCAACATTCCCCAGCCTGGCCTGCTTTCCCATGTGTTTATCAGGCTTGAAGAAGATGCACTAGATTTTTTTTTCCCCAAGGTCATATAAATTATGCTTTTCCATTGGTGCAAACCCTGGAATTCCATTCTTTTTTTTAACAGAAGGAAAAAAACCCAAACAAAATTAAAATCAAGAGGGAACCAAACTCTCCCCTTAAATACAGCTTTTTAACTGCAGGAGTGGAGTTTTCCTGCCTGCCCCTGAGTCACCCCATACCCTGCCCATCCCCTGGGAATTGAAGCTTCTGTGAGGATTTTCAGTTTCCGAGAGGCGGTAGGAACAGCAGGAACAACACTCTGAAGGTGTGAGAGTGATAAAAACAGGGACTGTCTTTGTCACGCCCCTGGTGCCTGCATTATTTATGAGGTATTGTAAAGCTGATGTAAGAGAGAGCTGCAGGAAGACCCACTGGAGAGCTGGGACTTTCTTGTAAATGTCAGGCGAATCTTATTGGACATGACATTTAGAAAATTACCACTTGTGGTCTTGCATATCCACTCTTAAATACTTTAATGAGAAGTAAGTAATTTTGTTGTGTATATAACACTTTGTCCCTCACCCTCTGTAATTCCTCTGTGCTATCAAGTTTTGGGTTGAAACTGTTGCAATCTGTCAGATTTGCTGCCTGGGGAATTGCACGGTCGTGCCCCTTCACAGCTGATCTGCAAAAGAGAATTTGCCATTACTTGAGTCAAGCACGAATCAGTAACAGCATTTCACATAAAATACAAAATGTGACAACGGACATCAGATGTCTGTACTGAGAGGAAAAAGCACAAGATGCACAAAGGGGCAACAGCCAATTCCCTTCCTTTATTCTTGCTCTTGCATGCCACTGATGGAAATTCTCAAGGGTACCATGCAAAAGAAATGCAGTTGTAGTGTGCTGGAAGGGGATACGGAGTTTCAGAGGTAGTTATCCAATGGCACCTTGTATATCAAAGGGTGAGGATAAATCTTAAACCTCTGGAAGTGTATTGTGCGTTGTGTTAATGGTCTGGATGAAGAACTGACTCAGTATCTAGCATGGGAAGAAGCAGTGGGAAGTAAGGGACCACTAATCGAAAGCAGTGCAGTTTTGGGATGCCTTGGAGGAAGCTGTCACACTTTCCATGTGACATACATGGCTGTTGTGCATGTTTGAAATGGAAAAAGAGTAGCTGAAGATACATGTTCAGTCTTCACTGAAGTGTGCAGCTGGATATTTGTTCCTGTAATAAGTTGCTTGGGAAGAAGACTTCAGTATTGCAGAGAACAATCGCTGTGCTGCACTCCTTTGTGTTGTGTGCATTACGCTTAGGATTATTTTATTTGAGAGCAAGTAGTGCCCAGAGGTCCATGGACTCTGGACTCAGCTCTGCTTGGCACCACTTAAATGCACACAAAATGGTCTTTTTCCATATCTGTGTGTCTCTTGATCAGCGGTGTCTTTCTGTCTCATCAGAGATAGTTCAGTTAATTTAGTATTCTGAATATGCATGAAATAGAATATATTATTCTGCCTGATCACAGAAGAAACATGGAAACATGGCCATCTTTTAAAAAGGGAAACAGATCACCTTACTGCTGTTACAGACTGTACAATAGTGAATGCTTACAAGATTTTTTTTTTTTAATGATCTTTTGTTACTTTAGGCAAAATATTTGAGACATTTGTTGTTTTGAGGCGTTAAATATGTTTTGCTAGGTAATTAAGGAGATTAATGCTGATTGTAATTGGTGTCCATTCAAAAATGTCAAACCTATTGAAGCATATTTTTCATAATAGTTGTTAATTAGTGAACTGCATTGAAGTTTACATACAGAGAGAAAGAGTTAAAAGCTAATCGGAAGAAAACTCATGCTGCTGCAGATCTGGAAGACGTGAGTAACCTGCAGCTGACTAACACAAGTCCAGGAACGAGTCAAATACATTGCTTTTTCACTGATCTTTTATTTATTTCCTCCCACAGTATTTTAAAAAGCAGAAACGGTTAATCCCGGAAAGGACGGTGTGGAAATATTTTGTGCAGTTATGCAGTGCAGTTGAACACATGCACTCCCGCAGGGTGATGCACAGAGGTAACATTAATTCAGTCTCTTTTCACTGAATAATAATATAATGTTCCAATTAGTAAGCGCCTACATTCAAAAACAATTATGCTGATGTTCAGCCAATGCGTGTTTAGAGAGGCTGGAGCTTGCAAGATGGATTTCTCCTTCTGTCTCTTTGCCTCATTGTTAAAGGATTCAGTCCGAAGTGAGTGTGGTGTTAGGAAGATGAGCTGCTTTGTATTCCAGACACTGTTATTAAGTAGAAGTGTCAAACTTGCCATTAGAAAAGTGTCAGAACTAAAATGCTGAGACTACTGGATACAGTAACTCTAAGAAATAGTCTTCATTATATTAGCTGTAACCTCAGAGAGTTTAGAAGAGTTTTTCCATCTTGCAAGTTTTCCTGAAATATTAATACAAATATGTCCCATGCTCTCATAAGCTGGTCTCTGTTTTCATTAATTATTTTTTTATCTTGTCTTAGAACTTTTTGTATCTTTGAGCCTTACACAAAAATTACATTGCTGCTTTCAGCATAAATGAAATGCTTTGTGAAGGACTTGACCCAGGAAATGCAAATATCCCAAAAGGCACCAATCTCTGCTGCTGGTTATTTCCTTTCTCCTTTGAAGCAATGAATTCTTCACTGTTTTTTTCAGCAGCGTGATACCATTTTTGGTCCTTTATGTATCCCTTGATGCAGTTTATCAGTTGCGGTTAGGTCTAATCGCTGTCTGAAATTTGGAGCATTGCGTATCTAGCTGTCTTTATAGTGAGGAAAGAACCTCTATAACTGAATCCTGACATGACTGCTGAGGAAACTGGAGTTCTACTAATTTTTACGCTCCATGAACAAACTGGGTTGTGTAAAGCCCAGAATTTATGTATATAGGGGACAATATTTGGCCTTTGGTGTGAGGGGATAATGGTGGGCAGTACAGTTTCCTGTAGAAAACTTGCAGTAATCATAGAAGAGAATTGTAGAATAGTTTGGGTTGGAAAGGATCTTAAGATCATCTAGTTCCAACCCCCCTGACATGAGCAGAGATGCCTCGCACTAAACTCTGTCGCTCAAGACTCCATCCAGCCTGGCCTTGAACACTGCCAGGTGGAACAATCATTTCCAAAGAGAAGCAGATTTATTCCTTTGATGTCCATCAGTTAAAGAGGTTGCCTCTATTCTGTTGTGCTGTTTCCTACTTTTTCCCTCATTGGTATTTCTTGTATGCTGGGAAGTACACTCTGATTTTTGTGTATGTGCAGAGCTTGAAGTCTTGGAAGGTTCAGCCTATCAAAGCTATAAAGAAACAGAGTTCTGCTGGAGCCTCTTTTGTACAGAGAGTGCTCCAGGCTATGTTTCTATTGCAGTATTAGAACCAAATAACCTTTTGTGGCTTTGACCTTTTACCTTTTTCTTCTTGCAGACATAAAACCAGCCAATGTGTTTATAACAGCCACAGGGGTGGTGAAGCTGGGAGATCTTGGATTAGGCCGTTTTTTTAGTTCTAAAACCACTGCAGCACATTCCTTAGGTAAGATGTTAAGCAAGCGCAGCCATACAGTTGTCAGCTGTGATGTTCAAAACAAGTGCTGTCTGTCCTCTTACTATGACAGACGCTTGATTTAGTGGATGCATGCTTTTATTTTCCGTGATACATCTTTAAGATACTCTTCATATAAAATTAATAGGTATTTTTTGTTTTAAAACTCCACATGATACTTGTTTCTGGAAGGTCTGGCTGGTAAGCGTATGATTTATGTAGCAAATGCAACAAATGCAGCTTTTCCACTCTAAATAGAATGTTTCCTGTCTTCTGACTAGAATTAAATGTTAGACCACCACCGTTTTTAGCAGATGCTGGTCAGCCCTCTGACCCTGAACAGGGGTTGTGTCTGTCATCCGTGGTGAGGGAAGTGTTCAAAACCTTCATGGTTCATCTGTTCCAAAAAAGGACTTCCCTTGAAACCCAGCTTAGGCTTTAAAGACCAAAGTTTTCTTCGGGTCTTGCACATATCTCAGGATTGTTTTCCTGCTCCTCTGTTGGTGCAGCTAACTCTTGCCAAAGCAGAGGACCTTGCTTTTATTCTCGTTGAAATGTGTCCTCTTTCTAGATGCTCCTACTTGTGATCACTCTGAATTTTTGTTCTCTTGTGCTTTGGTTCATCCTAGCTTCTTGTTATCATCAAAGGCAATAGCATCGCCACGGTCCCATGTGTTAATGCACGTGTTGAACGAACTAGAGCTATTGTCTGGTAGGACTTCACGTGAAGTAGCCTTCTAATTTGGCAATTAACTGCTTTTCCAACCAATTTTGCATCCATTAAGTAGTTTCATTTAGACAGATACAACAGTTTGCTTGTAAGTAAAGCTACATAAGCCTTTGATAAAAGCATTACAGTTGTAACGCATCTGTTGCTTCTGCTTCCCTCCCTATGAGGCCTCTTACCTTATTGTGGAAAAAAAATGTTGTGTCATGATGCTTCATGGGCCAGTCATAGTGATGATGATTTGTTTCTTTTTTTTGTGTTTTACAAGTGGCATGATCATACCTGCAGCATTTTTCTAGGAATTGATATTAAGTTGGCTGGATTAGAGCATCTGGGTTTCCCTCTCCCTTATTTTTACCATTGGCATTAATTACAATGCTACAGAAAAGTATACAGCACATACAGTTCGTTCTTTAAGTCTTTCAGTGTGAAGTATTTCATAATAGTGTCTGTAGCCTCTTGAGAGGTGGCTCATTTTCTGTTTTTATTAATGGGTCTCAATTTTGAGTCACAAAGGTACCTTCTGTGCCTACACTGCTGTGTTACAGCAGTGAAGACTTGGGCTTTTAATACAGTATTTAAGCTCTTCTACATTTAGCTCTCGTAGTTGATTTGGCAATACAGAATGTATGTTTCACATCTTTCATTTTCTTTGTGCAATTTGCTCCACTGAGTGTGAGCCTTGCTCTGTTGTTTCTTATAAGGGGTACAAACTTAATTGATAATACCAACAGCACTGGGGTTTCCCAGTGCACAGGAAAGGAAGAGAAATGCCTTATTTTGTGTGTTTTTGCTTTCATCAAAATGTTATGAGATTTCCCTTTGCATCCTAGGTTAAATACACACTAAATAGATTAAAATAAATCCTCTTCACAGAAAGTTACAGTCGCATCATCTGAACAGGCAAAAATACGATCATGTCTAATGATATGGACTTACCTAGTTTGACTGCTGCACTTATTATATTAATAAGAATAAATTGGGGCTTGGAAGCTGGCTGCATGTGTAAGCCAAGCTTGTGACCTTTACCAGGGTTGCTCCCTCTTAATTGAGAAAGCTCATGTAGGAGGAGTTGAGCCTCTTCTGTGTGAACCTTGCCCTTCCTCAAATCAACAGCATCCTGGAAACAGGTGAGAGGTGCACAACACTGACGGAGTGATGCTGGAGACAATGTGGTGTGTTGTGGGAGGGATGGATGCACCAGTGGTTTGTGTATCCAAGTGAAAAGGACCTTTTAACAAAAAATATGCAGACTTGAAGCTTTTCTTTGTTTTTTTGGTCATTTGCCAGACATACAGGTTTTGTAGCAGCAGGAAATCTACTGATCTTGGGTTTGGTTTAATTAAGACATTTGTTTAAGTAGCTGTGAGTGATAAGCACCCCGCGAACCAGAGTGTGGTACCCGCACGGACCCAGGCTGTGATGCTGGGCACTTCCCATAGCCGCGTTGCCCCGGCAACCGCCCTGCACCATCGTTTCTCTGGCTGCTGACCCATGAATTGAACACACGGCTTATGCAAATATATTCAGCTAATTTTTTTTTGTCTTTCGTTGTATTTGCTAGCATCAGACTGGCATAAAAGGGCATTAGGCAGTACCACGACCCGTCTGACAGGTGTACCACCAGGCTGCAGCAACACGGCTGCCGCGGTGTCAGGGATGGGAGCTGTAATTAGAGCAAGGAACAGAATGCACGTCAGATGAATTACCAGGCAGCAGATCATATTTGTCAGGAAGGATTGCATACATAAAAATTAAGTGACAGTACATGCCGGGGTAATGAAAGAAAAATGAAAGATTTGCCCATACACAGCTCGTGAGATGCAGGCGAGCGCCCGGCTCGGAGCAGCAGCAGGATGCCTGACTGGCGACACATCGGGCAACCAGGAGGCAGGGAAAGCCCCAGCCCCTGGATAACCCTCCATGGGCAGACCTGTGAGAGGGAAAACGTGGACACTTCCTGTCTCACTGAATAACAAAATTGTGTTAGGAAAGGCAGCAGTATCATTGTGGGATGGGTGATAAATACCAGAAACCAGCCGGGGGCTGGCGGATGTGGGTGGATTCACCAGCTGGCACCTCTTCTGCCACTTTCCCTTTTGCCTGTATGGCTTGTGGGCAAAGACAGGAGATACTTTTCCACAGGGAGAGCTCTTCGTGCACATGCTTTACCAGAAAACCCCTGTTTTAAAGGTAACAAGTGTAGCTAAGGTGAATTTTACTGCTTACAACATGGTGGTTCACCGTCCTTCCTTCCCTAATTTAAGCTCCCCTGCAGCAGAAATTCCAGGATTTAGTTTAATAGGGGTGGATTCACATATTGCAAACTTCATTTTATTGTGGGGATATGGGGAGAATGGGGGACAATTCAGCTTGACAAAAAGGAGCATGACAAACTTGCCTTGGTGGGTTTTGGGGTTGGGGGAGAGTGTTTTGGGGGTTTTGGGGCAGGGTTTCAATACTGCTTACTATTTTCTTGAAACGCTTTTACAACCACTCAGTTTGGGTTGATCCTTATAGTCCTGGTGTGTGATGTGCTTCCAGGTGATGTCTCTTTATTCAGGATTTCATAGGGCTAGTAGTAGTTTTTTGTTTGTTTTTAATGTTTGGTTGCGTCTACTGTTTATTTTCTTGATCTCTGAGGTGGGCAGAGACTTTGGAAAACTGCATAGTCTCGGGAAAACTTAACAGTAAGCTCATAGATTTTGTTTTACTAGGAGCTGTAATAAATATAGAGAATTTCCATCAGTGTTAAAATGGATAGCTTTATTGTGAACTGGTATAATGCCCATTTTTAGCCATATAAACTTGGCATTATCCAAAGCTGCTGATTGGTTTTACATTTTGAAGAAAAAAAGGGGAACAGCCACAAAACCAAACAATAAAAACCCGAAATAAATTTTCACAGAATAGTCTTGTTTTGGAGCAGATGATTTATTATTTATTCTTGGACAAGAATAAACTTGGAGCAGATTTTCCTTCTGGGGGATGCATGTAAGTCAAAGCTTCCCAGTTTAGAGCATGCAAGCAGCCGTGGCCTGGAATACGTGGGGTGTTACATGTTCCTTCTGGTTGCTTGTTGGATATGAGGGTGAGCAGGGAGGAACTGCAGTCACGAGAAGAGCTCTTTTATAAATGGACTGTTTGTCTTTTTTCTTTTGCTTGCCAAGCCATCTGACACAAAATCAGAGTACTTCAAGGGGTTAGTAAGCCGTACTTGTGAAGAAAATATGGACACAAGAAATGCTCTTAAAATAAACCCAACCCAAAAAATAGAAGGACTTTGGTAGAGTTGTGTGTGTAATTAAATACTAATAAGACAAAAATAGAGAGTGTAGAGCAACCGGTCTTGTAAAACCAGCTGAAATATTATGCACAAAGTATCTGTTCTCTTTTGTAAGAATAAGTAGGTTTTCCTGTTACTAGTTCCTCCCCCCAGTCCCGAAACAATTCATGTTGGAACCTCACACTGAGACTTGAAGGAATTTAAAGCATATCTTAGTGCTTTTGAGTACTCTTTTACTTTAATTCCCCAAAGTTAAGCTAATTCCCACATTCTCCTCGGAAAAGACCTCAGTCTTCTGGTTGGAAATATACCCCAAGTAATGCAAACATTTAGAAACAGATACTAGACTCCTTTTAAATAATGCTGTCCATTTTTCTTGGTAACCTGCAAGCATGTCAGGAGAGATGAGACAGGTGAGAACTGTGGACTTTGTTTGCAAGTAGAATTCCTTCCCACCAGATATTACTAAAACATGCTGAAATATTTTCCTCAACTGTACATATGTTCCTGTAACATGTAACAGTGTGTCTTGCATGTTAAAGTTAATAGTTCTGGAAATACTTAATTATAGGGTTTTTTTAAACTGGTTTTATGTTATTCATGGATGGCATCTCAGGTTTTTGAGTATCGTTCTTTGCCTTGTTCATTGGTAATGAGCATGTTTCAAAAATCACAAGTATTTCAAAACATTGCAAAGTTTGTTTTGACAGGAGTGGAACAGCTCTAGAATGAAGGAATGCTTTAATCAGTATTACCCCTTTGAGGCCCACGTTGCGCTCTGATATCTCTTGGTTTGAAACTGGGAATATTCTGTAAAGATACAATAAAGGTCAGATTTTGTTAGGTTCTTTCATATTCAGAACTCTCTTCCCTGCTGTGAGAAAGAGAAGTGATAGATTTGGAAACACTTTAAGCTCACCATTAAAGATTAGCTGGAAGGTGCTGGTGAAGGTGTAAAGTAAAAGCTTTCCTTATCATTTGTTCTTGTAGTTTGCAACCAAATATGGCTTTGGAGTTGGATTAATTTAAATAAATGCTTTTGGTTTTTTTTTTTTTTATAGCATTTTAAAAAACCCCAACACACAGAGCCTATTAAAATATTTGGAAATATTCTGCACTGATTTCAGGCTAATGACAATCTGTCTAACGGTGTGGGAGAACTGCTACTGCAAGGGACTCGTCTGTGGTACATTAAATTTGGTGAATGAGACTCTGATAGAGCCTCCTGAAAGTGTGAATCAGATTTTTCTCTTGTTTCTGCCTATGAGCAGCTACAGATGAATTCCAGAGGAGGCATTGATCTGTATTTGAGTGGGGAGAAGCTCTGTATAGAGGGTAACAATCCTGTGTATGACTGCACTAATAACCCAGCTACCATCACTTTCACAACAACAAAACTCCTGATTCAAACTGAAAATAGTTTTTAAAACAGATGAGTGTGATCTTGCCTGTGTAGTAAAAGACTTGCTGCGTTCAGGAGTAACGTAGCTCTTCACCTGGGTGTTTGTGGCAGATGTGGGAATTCGGCTCAGAGTACCTATGTGTACTGGCTGCTGTAGGTGCATGGGTAGGGTTTTTAATTCAGACTGTGTATGAGAGGAAAGGAGTTTGAATTTTATTGCTAGAGTAACTTTGCTGCCTTTGCCTGTGTGTTTTCCCAGTGAAACAAGAGACTCTGCTCCTAATCTAATTCTGAATAATTAGCATTTCCCAAACCTGGGTGCTGCAGATATCTCAGAGCTGTTCTGGTCCATGTGGGTGTTGTAGCTGTGCATGCAGACAGTGCTGGGGAGAGCAGGAGAAACGTTGTTCTGGCATCACTGAAATAGGCTGATCTTCAAGTGAACTGTGTCGACTTTTCAGGAATAGATGGGAAGATGCTTACTCAGAATCTTCTCTACAGTTTTTTGACCAGTCTAACTTTAAAGGCATTACTCTACCACCTGGTGACTAATTCTGAATCTGAACAATGTTTTGTATTTTCAGCAGGGCAAATGCCAAAGAAAGTTTCTGATTAATAGCCTCCGATTAGACTATTCTTGCCAAATTGACTAATGTAATGCAGTGGTGAGCCCTGACTGATTGCACTGGAAGCCTTGTGAGGTTTTCTAGAAGATGCTCATTACAGGAGATTCCCATGTAATGCTGGACAGGCCGTAAAGAGAATTGGGCTTGTCAGTCTTTCATCATGACAGTGATTTAAAAATTAATGCATCAGTTTTGAAACGCAGAGACCTGCTTTTTGGTACATTTGCTGACAACACTACAGTAATGATAGGTAAGTGCACAAGGTAGATTTCATAAAATCGGCTCAGGCATGGGCTGCTCCACAGCCCTATTAATATAATGGAACAGACTAATCAAATACGGGCTATAATGCACTCATCCGTGTTAGAAACCCTGTCATTCTGCTTTGATCGAAGGTTGGTTTAAGGCATTATCTGAAACGACAGTTTTATGCTACCAAGCAGACCCCTGCTAACATGGAAGTCAGGGCTGTAACTTTAGAGCCCACACGTTATTATTTGCTCTGAGCTTGTCATGCAGTGACCCAGAATAACTGATGGCAAGAACAGCTACAGCTGGAGGCTGCCCCTGGCCCCAGCACTGGGAAGCATGAAGACTTCGGGGAGCAGGAGTGGGAATGATGCTCGTGTCCGCTCCTGCCAGATGTGTGCCGCTGTCTGCCCATGCTCAGCTCCTGCGCTCGCTGTCAGCAAAGGGCTAGCGAGTCGTCTGCTTCAGCTGCTCCAGTAGCTCTCCTGGCAAATATGAGAAAAGCAGCAGCACTGGGAAGGAAGTTGAAGGTAGGGAAGTGTCTTACACACTGGTGCTCAGTGGGGACTTCCAAAACTGTCTTCAAGAACTTCACATAATGAATCACTCTTTCTTCTGGAGCTGTGTGTTTTTAAGCAGGAAAATGAATCAGTGCTGTTCCAACCAAGTCAGTTCTTGTACAGAAGTCTGGCAAATGCGTGGGAATTACTTGGAGAGCTGGGCTGTCCATTGTGTGCATCTTGCATGCACATGGGAGAGATCCTTGGAAAGCCTTGTTGCGTTCTTTGAACGTCTGCTCTCAGTGTTCTGTGAAGTTACTCTCTGCAGCCTGTTAAAAAATATTAACTATTAACAGAACTCTGGTCTCATCCATACATAGAGGCCTTTCGCTGGCAATTAAAAGCAGCCAGATCTGGGACAGTGTCAGTTTGGCATGCTCTGAAGCTGCATATGACATTACTGAGCGTGGAAATATAATAATCTCCATGTGTTATTTTTCCTGTGCTGTTGTAGTTTGTATAGAATTAGCAAAAATGTAATTTCTTACGAGGGTACTCTTCACATTGAAAGTGTTTTCTTATTTGAATGACCTGTAAACGCAAGCTGAGTTTATCATATAGGGCAGCTGATTACCAAAAGTCTTTGGGGACCAAATAAATGAGCCAGTCAGGGCAGTGGTCGTCTTTCTGGTTACTTGTTCTATCCTGGTAAGTAGAGTTTTACATATGTATTCCTGTAACATCTTACGTTTCACACCGATGCCATAGGATTACTTTCATGCTGTATCCTATGTTTCTGAATAGCTCTCTGTAAAAATCATTGAGGTTCAGTAGACTCAAGGCTTGGGCATATAAATGCCTGACAGAAAAAGTAGAATGAAGTTGAGCTTTGTGATGTGTTTTATTTCAAGGTAAGCTGCCTAGTTTATACCCCAGAGAAAGAATATACCTTGAGTATTTAAGGTGATGTGATCTGTGCACTTGGCAGAGTGATTTTTGCCTTTTGGGAAGCTGTTGCTTTCTGCCCCAGTACTCACTTGTTTCCTGCAGTGTGTGAACCTCTCTCTAGGAAAGTCAGGGGAAGGCGGTGGCTCTTCTTCCTCCTCTACCTCTAACACCATCCTTCATCTGCATATTAGTCTTCCAGCTGTCTGCAGTCAGAATTTCAAATGGAGATTGTAAACTGAACGTTACAGGCAAATTAAACATTTGCCATCTTGTGAGGAAAGGTCTTTAATGAGGAGAAGGATACGGTGGAATGCCAAAAGCAAAGAAAAAACCCCAAATTGACAGGGGACGGGCAAGCAGGGGAAGTACGAGAAGAGAGAGCGTATAAAGTCCTTGGATGTTTTAATAAATGATGTATCTGAGGATTATTTGATGTAGCTGAGACTGCCAGGATGTCTTGTATTTTGAGTACCACAACTGAAACTTACTTAGGATTTAAAAAAGAACCTTTTTGAGGTAAGGAATTTATTAATAATTTCCTGTAACTTCTCTCCAAAATGCTGGGGTACATTTCTTTTGATAAAATACAGACTTTTGGAAGTACATGGGAATCCCACAGCTTCTGCTGTGACTGCGGGTTGGAGCAGCGTTTTAAAGTTTGGAATGATTATCTTGGTTCTTTCAGAAAGTTTCCAAATACCTGTCTGGTGCTGGGCTTGTTCCTTCCATTTCTCTGCAGCAGTAAACGGTCTCCTGAACTGTTAAAAAGGGTACCCTGTCATATCAGGAGCTGCCCTGTCAGGCTGTGAGCCAAATGTGTGTCAAGTGAACGTTCAATTGATAGGCTGTCACAGGAGTCTTGTTTGAGCAGAGCACGTTTCATGACATCTAACTTGCAGTTTCAGTGCTGTTGTGTGAACCAGCAGAGGATGATCATTTACGATTGCTCTGTCCGCCTCAGACACTCGGAAGGTACTTGGAAGACTGGCAGGGGAAGAAAATGTTCCTCAGATTTCAGAAAGGCACAAGATATTTTCAGTAACGTTCACCAGCCCTCTCGCTCTATGTGTGATGATATATTTGGTTCTGCACCTTTGAAATCATGAAGTGTTTCCAAATTTTTGTGCCAGTCTCTTTTAATTAGGTTTTCGTGCTAAACCCAATACTTAAATGAAGTCAAGCTTCTGTATAGTCCAGGTCGCACAGTCACTCTTTAAGATGTAACTCCTCATTTGTTTGTTTGTTTTTACAGTGGGAACTCCATACTATATGTCCCCAGAAAGAATACATGAAAACGGCTATAACTTTAAATCTGATATCTGGTCTTTGGGCTGTTTATTGTATGAGGCAAGTATCTTTTAACTGGTTTTTTCCCCCCCAGGTTTGTCTTAACCACACAATGCAGTACAGGAATTGAGCAGGTGAGACTTACTGTAGTTTAATTGTTGAGAAACCTAATTGAAAAGTTAACTCTCTTTGTTCTCATCATGTGCTTTTTGAGCATGAATAACAAAGGGATTGTGCCATCCAGCACAGTACTTGCACAAAGGGAATTCAGTAGGTCACTGTAGGTGGTGAAGGTATATACATAAACAAGCCATCTCGCTGCATTCTTTCTTCCTACTGTGAGCAGAGCTGCTATTAGGGCAGCATATTCATAGTCTCTCCTGAATACTGCATTTGTTTTAAGAGATAGCAAATGCATTTGAAGGTAAGCTACTCGTTTGTTCAGTTGAATTGTGTTCAATTGGAATATTTAAATTTTGGGAGATTTGAATAATGAAAAAGAGAGGGTTTATGTAATGTGAAATCAGTTTCTCTAACTTTGTTAGGCTATAGCTGGATTTCTTTTTTCTGGTTGTACACTGTCTTCTAGTTAAATGCACAAGTACAAAGCAGGCATGCTTTGTATCAACTACACACTTAGTGTGCAACTTTTCCTTAAAAGCTATTACATATAATTTGAAAAGAAATGCTATGATTTTTATAACAGTACTTTGAGTTTTGTGATTTCATTTTTAGCAGGGATCAAAGGGTATTGAGAACAGTCTTGTATTCCTTATAATCTAATCTTAATACTTTTTCAGATGTATGCATCTTAGAATTCAAGTGAAAGTGCGTGTCAACATTTAGAAAGCTTTTATGCCAGCCCAGAGAATTAAAAATCCCAGGGATATTTAGTAACAAGAATATTGCTCACATCCTTTTTGGGTAACAAATTATGTGAACTGGTGACATCTTGCTTCTCACCACAGCTTCTTGTAACCACATGGAATTAGAGAATAAACAGAAGGGCTTTATATTCCTACCAGTGACCATTCAAAGACCGTATCTCTCCCAAGCTTCAGACAGCCAGTTCACAACTGCTGACTGTCCTGAGCACTTGACTTGGCATAGAGTTTCATTAAGGAAAAAGATTTCTCTGGGTGCCTGGCATAAATGCTCCATAAGTCACACCGAGCAGTTTAAAGACCCAGCACTGGCATTACTAATATCGGAGCAAATAGATCTGCTGGAGGGAAGATCCACTTTTGTGGAGACACTGGAACCCGGTGTGGTTGTATCACTGTAATATTGTTAAAATTCCATGTGTTAGGAGGGAGAGAAGGGGTGTAAGACACCCTACTAAGTAATTGATCAAAAATATTTGGGAAAGTATGAACTTAATTTAAGTGGCTTTGTGCTTATCTTCAAATTCTTGTTACCTCTGGTGAAAGAATGGAAGCAACATACCATTAAAAAGTTGTTAATTTTTATAGAGGAGGGTTTTGCTTGTAATGCTTCCAATGAGATGCTGAAAACTGGAATGGTGCAGTTTAGCTGTATGTACCTGGGTCTGGTGGTGGTGTTTGAAAAGGAATTTGGAGACTTCTGTGGGAACAGGGGGAAGGCAGCCTGAGCTCCCAGTAATTCACTATGCAGAACAATTCCAGGTATGCTTCATGTAAAAGAGGAATTCTCAGTTTAAGGCTTTGCTGAGTCAAGGACTTTGGCCCTACCATGTTGGACTTGCCAAGTCTGTCAGTAACAGCCAAAGTCACCCAGGTTGGACACAGCTACTCGTTTGCTGCTGTAGTGTAACGGCTTCTCTGTCAGGCTGCTCTGAGTCACTTCTGAGGCTGAGCTCTGCTGGAGATGGAATTCCAGATTTATGCAGAGAGAAATATTTAGCGTTGTGCTAAGATGTGTTTTTGTTGCAGGCAATATGCTCCCCTTATGGCACAGTAGTCTTGGTACTCCTTATACTTCAAGAAGCTGACTTAATTGCACACTAAACATAATTCTCTGGTAGGAGTAGCAGTACTATAGTATCATGTGAAAGGTCTGGCATGTGAAGCATTTTTAAATTTACTTCCTACGTAGGTAAGCCTTAACTTAGAGAACAGGAGCTGGAAGATCTTGCAGCTTCCAAGGGGGCTTGGACAGTTACTAATTCTGCACTCGGCAGATAAACAGCTTCTTGGCTTTTAAAACTTTCTAGAATTTGGAAAATTAAACCTCAAGTTGGTGTGTCTCTGAAGGAGCCGTATTTTATCTTCACTAATTCCTTGTAATGAGAATGTTTTTCCATTTGGCTTTAAAAGTAAGGAAGTGATGCTTGTTTGGTTATGAGTCACTTCTGATATTTCTCCAGATAGATTGTATAGATAAGCTGCAGAGAGATTTAATGTACAAATTGCCTTCAGAGACACGCGTGTCCACTAGAATCCACTTAGGGAACATTGAGGGGTTTGGGATGTGATGCCACATAGCACCACTTAGCTTTGATGTTGATAATCATACAGTGATTTTTATTCAATCTTATCAATAGAGTAGTAACTGTCTTCATCCCTCACTTCCTGTAGATGTCTGTCAGCAAGATAACTTGGAGGGGATAAAAATAAGTTGTTAATTCCCAGAATATAGCTACAAGCAATGACTTTAGCAGTTCTGGCAAGACAATCAATTTAAACACTAACAGTGATTCCTCTTTCTCTATATTTTTAACCAGTCATACTGCATGGTGGTCATTTTAAATGGAGATCTGGCTGTCCTGCAGTAATTGCTCTAATCAAAACGTCAGGAGCAAACCCCAGCACAGCATCACAGACTGTTGTTAGTGAGATATTTGGAGTGCCTGTGGTCACAACCCCTGCAGACCTGACTGTTTTAGTCAGGACTTCTGTGCTCTCTCTTTCCATTTAAATTCCCTGAGTTTACCACCCCAAAACCCTGCGGTGTTTCCTCCTCTTTTGCACATGACCGCTTAACTAGACTTCGAAAGAAAAGTTAATGGGAATTGAAAACTCCCTTTCAACCTTACTGGCATTATTGATGCCTGTATTGAAATCTCAGAGACCTTATTTAACTCTTGATTGCCTTCTGTACCTTCCCTAATGCGCCCATTAGTGGTGTTCTTAGACCAGTGCTGGGTTCTCCAGTTTTGTTTTAACTGATGGAGAGCAGTTTGCTATCAATCTTTAATTGGAGATTAGAGTCTCTAATTGGAGTGTGTAAATTTTTTTCCCCACTGATTTGCCTGTTACTGTTACAATGCAACTTCACCTTTTGCCTTCAAAAACTTCCACAAGGCCTTGAGCACAGGGTTCTTGGGGCTCCATTCACCAGCCTTTCGGGCAACTCTTCAACCTCAGGGTCTGTAGGGTTTATGAGGAATAGCTTAGCATTAGTACTGATAATAGTGGTGAAACTCAGAGAGGTCAAAGTGTGCCCATTCCCCAGCCTGCTGCTTTGTGCAGCTCTTAAAGGTGCAATTCCTCTTCTTGCTCATCCTGCAGCAGAGCACAGTAAATGTCACTAGCACAGCAGATATGTCAAGCTACGTTACATGAAGCCTTCCAGAAAACTGAGTAAGCCTGGAATTTTCTGAGATGTTTTGGGTAGCTGTGTACTCAGTTCATTCTATCTTTCAGTGTAATTTGGGTACCTTAGTATATTCTGTGTTGCCATTTATAAGCCTCTTTGGATATCTGATAAATATCTCCGGAAGATCTTCCTGAAAGGTATTTCAGTCTAGTGATACATAAGGAGACAACTTAGGAAATTTGGCCAGAAATAAGTCTTATTATTTATAATTGCTCAGAACTCATTGCAGAGGGTCTCTTACCTTGGCTGTCTTGTGCAAGGTGACCCCCTACAACTGAGTCACAACTTGCAGCTATAAGCAAGGCAGCAACATAAGAGCTTTAAATTACTTAAAAGATAGGTTTATGATTTAAACCAAGGATAATCCATCAATCTTGATTCCTAACTGCAGGATAATAGATTGGAGGACCTGGTATTGACTTTTTTTTTTAACTCTGCTGGGAGCTTGCTGTGTGTGTCAGCAGCAAGACAGCATTCCTCAGATGGCTTTCACAGTGCATGGTAATGAGCGAAAGACTAATAATCATCAAATAACCCCTTATTAAAGCCGTAGCGAGAAGCATCAACTTCAGCTGGCCTCAGTATGAAAAGCTTGCCAATTTGGTGTGCCTTGTAGCAAAATGGTTTAAAAAGATCTAAACAGAGCAGATAATTTCCACCATTCTCCAGTGGTGCTTCATTAGAAGGAGGTATCGCTGTGCTGCGTGGGGCTGCCTCTGACAGGCACGAGGGGGACGAGCAGCGCTTGAGTAACACCCCGGACTAACAAGCAGATGGGCCCAGCATGGTCAGTGACTACAGGGGGTCTGCTGGGCTTGGGTCCTGGTGGGGGGACACGAGAGTTAAGGTGCTGTGCTCATCCTGTGTCCCTTCAGTAGACACAGCTTAGGCCACACACACCAAGTTCAAAAAGGCCTCTGTTGCTATGGCTGTTTTTCTGAGGCTCAGCGTGCGGTGGTTGTTACGACCTCCTGGTTGAGAACTTTAAGTGTGAATGGTTTTCCACACACAAAGATGTAGTTTCCTTCCTGAGACTTCAGGATAATATAAACGTTTCTTTGTAAGGAGTCCCTGCGTGCCCTGGAAGGAATTCTTTCCCACCCAGAGCCTCCCATCGTGCTCTCCTTGCTGTGTGAACAGCCTGTTTATCTTGGACATCTGTCATATTTTTGGAGATGCAAATACTGGGTTCATAAAAGAGAATTAAAAGAGGAAAACGAGCAGATTGATTAGGAAAAGTTTCAGTAGTTTGGTTCCCAAATCTGCCTGGGATCTTTTCTAAATAGCAGATTTCTGGCAGGAGGGGATGTTTGTTTTGAGGTCAGTTGGGTTTTTTTAAAAGGCTGAAGTACATTCCTCATGCTTACAGGATTCTTTGTATTCTAGGTTGCTAAATGTCCAAAAATAACCCTTTTATTCTTTGTAGCAGGCTATTAAAAATCTACCAGTTGCAGAGAGCAAATGAACTGAATGTGGTCATAACCGAGGAAGATTGAAAGCAGGACATGTTATCAAAGACAGAAGAGATGATTGTGTTCATGAGAGGTTTTCATAGTTACCTTTGGGCCAGTTGGTTTTGAACTGATTGGCCTATGGTCCAAGCATCCTGTGTCTTGTTTAGTTGGTTGATTGGTGTTTTATGGTTTTTCTGTTTTAAAAAAAGGTACTTTTCTCTGTGCAAACAGAAGCGGCTTTGGCTGTGGGCAGTCTCAGAGAGCAACATCATCACCTGCTCACTGTCAAAGAACAAAATTTGTTCTTGCAAATCAGCAGTACTGAGGGCTATGAAATCCTTTGCATTTCTGAAACATTTTCTGTTTTTCTTCTCTCCAGATGGCAGCTCTTCAGAGCCCTTTCTATGGAGATAAAATGAACCTGTTTTCTCTTTGCCAAAAAATAGAGCAGTGTGACTACCCACCTCTTCCAGCCGAACATTACTCTGAAAAGGTAAATCTGGGAGTGTTTTTGCAGGGGGATGTGGTGGGGGTGCAATGAGGTTCCTCCCTGCTCAGGGCAAAGGGAATGCAGGAGGAGAAACCCCCCCATCCAAGGCAGAAGAGATGGCCAGAGTGTGCTGGGTACCTTTAGGGCTGGCTGAGGAAAATACTGTGATATCTGAATACTGACAAGCTAAATAAGACAGAAAAGATTTCTAATATGGGGGATATTGTGAAACAAAGTCTGATGCTGGCAAAATCCAGCAGTGAACCGTGGGAAAGCCCTGTCCTTCACTTCCTTTCCCTTCAAACAGCATACCCTAAACCACGCTTAAATTCCTATTCGTGAAGTCTTTGGTGTGTAACAAGGGGAGAAAAGTGGTTCTTAAGAAAAAGAGGGGGAGAAAGTTACTCGGTTTAGAGCAATAAGCATCTCTACTGCAGCTGTACAGGGGACTTTTAAGCCTAGTCTTTGCACACATGCAAGCAAGGGATGTAGAGCAGTAGCTGAACCAGAGCATGTAAAACCCTGTTGCTGTGCGTGCTTGCTCAGTGGTGTTTCACTTCAGCTGCACACACATGTATTGGTTTTGTTCAGGCCCTTTTGAGATGGGTTTAACTTTTTCCCCCCTTACCTAGGCAAAGCAGCTGTTTTTCTTTACCTCCTCGTTCTGTTACAGTTGCCTTCTGTTTGAAAGGAAATGGCTAATGTAATTTTAAATGTTCACCATATCCTTTGGGGTTTCTCTTTTGTTTTATTCGACATCAGAGTTCTGAGGCACAAGAGGCAGGATGCAGGGGAAATACTGTATGTGGCCTGGTCTCCACCCTGAGAGGGACCCTGCACCACACATTTTACAATTTACTTAGATTTTACTTGCTGAGTAACTCGTGCAAAGAGATCATTTGAGAACTGTTCTGGAGAAGTGTATTTTTTAATCTTCTCTTCCCCAAGCTGCCGCAGCAGCGAGGCCTGGCTCATGCATTCACGTTTGCCATGCTGTTGTAGCATGCACTTCAGGATATGCCTGCTGGCAGCAAGAATTAGTGTAAGTTGACAGATGTGTTTCCTGTCTTTACAATTACTGTCTGTTTGCTTCCCTCTGGCAGTGCTAAAGAGTGTGTGTAGTGTAGTGATACAATCCAGGGTGAGAAGGATGGTTTTAAAGCTCAAAGGCGCCAGGTCCCAGAGAACTAGACTCCAGATGGTGTTCATACACTATTAACAGAATGCTTGACAAAGTCTGGGGAGGGCTGTGCCTTTGGCTGTAGCTCATCTTGCTGCATTAGCTGCTGCTGCTGCTTCCTGAAACCACAGAGCGCTTCGATTTGTGAATAGTAGAACGTGACTCCACCGTGAACAATACTCGGTTTAGTACATACTTTTAAAGATGGCATTTTCAGATGCTTTTGGAGTGGATAGCCAAAGGAGAAGGTGTGTTGGTGTCTCCCGTCAACCAAGCTCAATAACCCAGGCAGGCAGGATCAGAAACAGCAGCCAGTTGCACCGTAAGGAATGTGTTGTTCCTGTGGGTGGTTACCTTGGTCTGATGTACATGTTTTCCTTCACGAGCGGATGTCTCCATTTAGATTGAAAAGGCGGAGTCTTTACAACCACTCTATTATTGTCACTGTTGCAGGTTTGCAAGTGATGTGGGGAAGCAGTAAAAGGCCTTTACATCCTCCTGCCCAAAGGCAGGGCTGAGGATTAGGCCGTGCCACGCTGTCAAAGCTCTCGGCAGTGCTCCGGAGTCATTGGTGTGTCTTTCCTTCACCTCGCAAGTGAAGCTTCAGGTGTAGACTGACTGCTGATCACATGAGTGGTTTAGTTGCAGCATGGTTTTAGGTGAACAAAGCAGAACATATTTATGGCAGAATTCCTGCTTTAACGGTGTTTCCTTTCCGTGATGTCCCTCTTGTCAGTACCCTTTTGTGGCTAACCCTCCTGTGATCACCTGCTGTCCTGCTTGTAGCAGAGGGAGGAGCTGGGACTCCAGCCAGGATCAGTTTTCTATATTGGGAACAAATTTGCTGGTAATTGGAGATCCTGGTTGGTGCTTCTCCTGGCTTGGTCTGCCAGTTCCCTGTGGCTGTAGCCTGTGCTGTCCTGGGCATTGACAGGACAGAGCTTCCTGCCTGTATTTAAGTGCTGTATTTACATGGGAGCACAGCTGCTGGTTGGGCAAATGGTGCTGATAGTACAGGCTCTGTCAGAGCTCTAGAAGCATTTTAGTTTGTCTGTGGGCATTTTGTGGTGATCTTGTCTGAGCAGGGTTAAGGTACGTGTTAAGCCTTCAGGGTGTCAGGGTTACAAAGGCAGCACCCTCTGCCCTCAGATGGACCAGAAAACATCACAGCAGGTAAGAGGAATGGGCCAGGCCATGGGGTTGGGCTTGCTCTGGAGGTGGCCTGGCTAAGGGGGTCATGTTGCTCTCTCTGCACACAAAATGATGGAGAAGGTGGTGAGCAGGAACTGTTTTACACTGTGTCCCTGCTGCTTTGCTGCCTGTGCCACCCCACAGGAATCCCCCCAAGATGTGCATGGGCCCAGTGATGATGACTGAAGCACAGGCCCAGCTCCATCCAGAGCTGAAAACCTCACTTGAGTAGGCTCAGTGCTGCAGCTGAAGCCGTGTGCTCGATAGCTGTATGGGCATGCTTTTAATTACCATTAAAATAATTGGCACTGTGGCTACTGGGAGGATGTGAGAAGATCAGAGGCTCAAGGCTGTTTCTCCTGGTGCCTCGGGGGTACGAGCAGCTTTCAGTGTCTGTATAATTAAAAGCTACAATCTTTCATGTGCACAATAAAGAGGGTTGGGAGGTGGGGAGGCTTCAGCCCTTCTGCATTTTATTTATTAAACATAATCAATGACCAGTCTCTCTTCCTCACAGAGGTTTTCAGGAAGCCCTCGTGTCTGACAGCCAAGCTCCAGTACCTTAAAGTGCTGGTCAGACTTACACTAAAGAGCTTGAACTGGCTTGTGACAAGGGACTGCTGTGGGAAGGGACGCGCAGTTGTCGTACAGGAGAGCTCTGTTCTGGCTTCCCTCTTTCCTCAGAGTCCACTTTCACCAGTCAGATTTCTGGTAGTGATCTTGGTTTCCCTTCAATCCTTATACCTCCCTCTGCCCCCAGCCAGGACCTCCTCACTTCTGTCTTGTGCTTCCTACTCCTTTGGACCACAGGCTGATGACTGGTCATCTCTGCTCTGGTTTTCTGAGGGAAGTCAAAAACCCCCCAGGAAAAAAAGATTTCTATTTTTATAAAAGGTTTTGAACCTCCTGGTGTCAGAGCTGGTTGTTGTGTCCTCTGCAGACCCCACCAAACCACTGAGCACGGTGTAAATGATGATGTCAGATCCACTCGGTTGTTGTGTGGAAGATTTAGATCTTCAGCACGCAAGAACTGGTGGAAAAGGTTCTTTTGGCCCTTCTATAGGGTGACACACAGGATGGACAGACGGATGGACGCGTGCCCAAGAATGTCTGCGTTAGGGTTCTTGGCTCTTGTCCTGGCCTCCAGTGGTTGGACAAACATTCCTGTAGCCTTTTCCAAGAAGTCAGCACATCCATTCACGTCTGCATGTCTCTTTTCTTGTCTTTCAGCTGCGGGAGCTGGTCAGCATGTGCATATACCCTGATCCAGATCAAAGACCTGACATTGGTTACGTGCACCAAATAGCTAAACAAATGCATGTGTGGACCTCCAGCACATGAAGCATCTGCAGCCACTCTCGAGAAGCCAGCACAGCTCAGTCTTACTTGAATTCTTTTTTTCTCAGCTGAAACTGAGTGGTGCCTTGTCACCCCCGCGAGAGGGTTGAGCACTCGTAGCAAGAGGCTCCATTATTTCTGCAGGTTATTTGACAAGGACTCTTACGCCGTGGTCATGCTTTAAAGTGAAGATTCTGTGAGGTATTGCAAGTGATTTTTTTTGTTGTTGTTTTTTTTCTTCCAGGCCAATAACATGTTACAGATGTAGATCATTTAAGGGTCCTTTCTTAAAACTGTCGTGTGTAATCTAGGATAGATATTAACAAGGGTGCAGGTTTGCTGCACCCCCTCTATCTTAACTGTAATGTGAACTATTGAAATAATTCCTTCAGTGAAATCACTTTATACTAGTGTAAGAATTACAGTAGATTTTGTGTAATTTGTATAACTGCTACTTTGCCTCTTCTGCAAATGTTCAATAGCAAATCCAGTTTTTACTTCGTATATTTTAAGGCAGCCATTTATGTGTTTTTATCAATTCCCTCTTCCTCAGACACAGGAACTGGGAAGGGTTGGGGGGGGTGGGGGGGAAACCCATTTGTTTCAAGAGTTCTCTTTTTTTTTCTTTTTCTTTTTTTTAATGGAAAATGTAGTATTTTGCTGATGCATTGATCTGTTAACCTGGCTACAGCCAATGAGATGAGTTAAGGATGTACCTGGGGACAGAGACGAGGAACATGCCAACAAACCAACCCAAACCAAGCATTGCTCCTGTAAGGAATTGTTCTTTATACTTTTTTTTCCCATTTGGCATGAATCTTTTTAGACTGCAGGTCCTTGTTAAAGCCCAGTGTTGTATCCAAGCCAGCTTGATTTTGGTGACGATACTTCTACGCGCTCAGTTGTATGTCAGGTACCGTAGGTAGAACTGAAGCAAAGCAGTGTTTAAACACTTTGAACGTTTTTTAAACAGAAAGAAGTCAAATGCTTTGTGTGTCTAATTCTCCATAAGGATCAGCCCCGTCTGTTCAACTGTGAAAGCTCATTTACAGAATGTGAATTTTTGTAAGATCTCCACCTGATTTGAAGGAGTCATCTTTAACTACACAGAAATTTTCAACCAGCTAAATTCATTCATTGAATCAATGATTTGTTTCATTACTGTTGATGGAAAAATAAGTCACTGCTTTAGGAACAAACATGGATTCACGTTCAAGTGTTTCCATTTCATGTGCCTGTTCAGAGGAACGGGCTGCACTTAATGTTCTGGAGGGCTCCAGTGGGGGAAGGCACACGCCTGTCCTGTGGCAGCGCTGCTTCCATGTGAGACGGTGGCTAATGCCAAAACGTACATTTGTGTGTGACAGTTCAAATGCAGCCTGTGCCTGCTGGGATTTTTATTAAGCGTACAATCCTTAATTTTTTGGAAATAAATAGGATTAGGGTTAGAGGGTTACCTACATATATATGCTTTTAGTGGATTTTTTTTTTAACCTAATTTGCTCTACTTAAAGGAAAACTTGCAGTGCCATCTTCAACTTCATCCCATCAAATTTTCAACTATTTATATAGGATAGCAGAGAAAAACTATGAATTGCTGTGAATAAGGTTGGTATCAGTAATGCAAGGTGCCATTTCACTGAGTCTTCTCAGCAGAAATTGAGCCTGCTGCTCTCAGGAGAGAGGCAGGAAATTCAAATCAGCATGAGAATGTAGTGGAGGCACCAAATTGCTTCCCCTGTTCCCATGCTAAATGGTTCATTTATACCTGGCTTCTTCAGCAGTTCTTAACACTGAAGACTCTCACTCTGCCACTGCAGCTTTCCTTTAAGCCAGGGTGGCAGCTACACGTTCAGAGGGATGGATATGCTGCGCCTCTCTTGGTGTAACATGGAAAAGGATCTTTGGCTTCCAGGGAAGCTCAGCTTAAATTTGAGTATCTTGAGAAGTCTGGTCACTTTCTTGCTACATAGAATTTCTTAGTGCTTCTAAGTAAATGTATTTCAAAAAGTAATTTTTTTGCAATTGTGCCTTTTTAGATAAATAAAAAAATGATTTACAAAATAAACATCTTTGTTTAAAAAAAATAAAATAAAATAGTCTAGTGTTAAGGAAAGTATTTTAGAAACCCTGAAAACAGGCCTAACTATGTGTGAAGCTGTTCCTAACTGCTGTTACATGTAGTTACTTTTCCAGAAAGCCTCCAAAATTGTACCTGTTGTCCCAATGGAAACCTTGTCCCTCTGAAATCACGGCACAGCTGAAGCTGTTTTTTGCTGGATGGTTGTTGCAGGAGGCTGAGATTAGGACCTGGTGCCTCTTCACATTTGGGAGCAGTGTGGAGGGGATGATGTGCTTTGACTAAATGAGAAAATAATGCTGCAGGTGGATTTTCTGCCTTCCCCTCTCCCCCCCAGGTTATGTGATCCTGTATGGAAGTTTGCAGTCAGTGTCTCTCAAATAGCACAGGAAAGGTCCAGGTGGAGGCAAGTATAACAAGACAATGAGACTTTGAATTATGCTGTCTTTAGTGATGTCATTTAGGAATAAAAAAGTGTGTACCAGTGTGGAAGCTGGATCTCCTCCATATCCTGTCTCTATTGACAGAAAACAGGGGAGACTTAACATAAATGTGCCATGATAATCTGTGTTACTTCCCTGCAGTGAGGGAGGCAGTGTGCTGTTTAGAACCACCACTTCTCACTGTGTTCATTCTATTTCTTGATCTGATGCATATCCACCAAGAACAGAACATTATTAGAATATATATAATTAACAATTAATTTGTCAAATTGGGATTAGTCTGTTCCTAGAATTACATAACAGACTAGATATTGTACTTGATGGTTTTTCTGCCCCAAGGCCGGTGTGATGCTCATTACCCTTTCACATACTGGAACAGACTCTTTCAGGTAAGTCCAGCTTGTGGTCACAGCCTACAGCACTAAAGAGACAGGTAAGTTCTGTTCTGCACCAGCCTCGTACTCTCACCAGTCTAAGGAGGGAAAACCAGTAAAAAAACCCAAGCACCGTGTGACAACACAAACAAGGAGAAGAGTCAGAACCCTCTTTATTCTGTATCAGCTGCGTGTTTCATGGGGTGCTGGAAAGCTGCTAAACTAACTGGTGCTGCTGCCCGGGACACAGAAGGGCTGGTGGGTGTTTCAGGAGGTGTCCATGGTTTGTACGGTTTCATCCACCACCTCAATTTCCAGGAGTGCCACATTTTCTGTGAGAACAGCAGTAGTTCCTTTTTCACACTTGTACCGACCATACCTGTTACAGACAGAGGTGTCAGTTAAGCTTAAAGATGATACACAGGAAAATTCTCAGTTAAGATTTTAGCACTAACCAGCTTTCTCTAGAACTCTGCTGTAAAAGTACAAAGTTAAGAACTGTGTTTACTGCAAAATCTAAACTCATTGCAATAACTGGACAATGTTTCAGATAAACCAGCATTCTTTAGGAAAGATCTTTAAAACAAAATAAATAGCCCTTCCCAGTTATTAGTAATTTACTTTCTAGAAGTCAGTGGGATCTCATTAGAGCACTCACTCTAAGAAAGCTTTTTAGCAATTTATTTCTTTTTTACAACTCTAATTATACCAATGTCTGTGCTAAAAATTAGCTGCATTTAACCGAGACTGCCTGTAATCAGGCCATGCTTCTGGCATCTTAGCTGCATCTGTCCAAATGAGGTGTTGCCCTTTACACCCATGTAGAATATAACCCAAAATCTCACTTAATGTGTAACAAAACTTTTCTCTAATCTGCCTCCTTCAGATGTCTCTTAGAATGAACTGTCACACTTAAAGAGTTGAGCAGGCAGAAATCTGAAAGCCCTTCACGTGGAGCAGCACAACTCTGGGTTTCCCCAGAGTATTTGCCTTAAAAGCACGGAAAAAACAAACTTTAAACTCTCTTATTTTGGCAGTGGATTGAGAAGTTGCACAACTTGTTGCCCATAACATAAAAAGTACATACTACAAAATCCTTTAGCAGCCTTGGGGGCCTGTGATTTCCCCCATTAGGCAATGGAGTTGAAATTCATACACTTATCTAGGGATTACTCTGACAGAATTCAAGTATTACAGACAACAGGAAGTGCTGGGGAGAACACAGATAATGCACAGCTTTGGGAATACCAACCTGTCCCCTTTTTTGTTGGCCACATCATATGGACGGAGAAAATCCAACTTGCTCTTGCTTATGACGCAGATATCTATGTTGCTGCCAGAGCCCAGATCATTGTAGATGCCAGCTGCAATGGCATCTCTCACAAGCTGTTTGGCTTCCTCCTCCTAGGAAAGTTAGAAAAGCTGTCACAAGTGCTGGCATTTCACAGGGCTGTTTGTCCATGTGATGGGGGAAGCTGTGAGCTCCTCTCAGAACAATAAAGGAGGGAGATACCAAGCACCTTTTTAACCAGATAATCAACAACACTGAGCAGTGGGACTGTCTACAGAAACTACTTTTTATCCTGTCCATGATTCACCACCCAGGATTGATCAGATTGAAGAGACAAGGAAGCAAAATTTAGATTTTGTTTGTATTAATGAATAGAGAAAACAGATTTTATAATTTCTATCTTCCAGGCTTTTGTGTAAGGTGCAAGTTCCCTGCGCTGTCCTCTGTGCAACTCTTACACACAAATTAAAGGTTCATGCTAGTTTAGTTGCAAGACTTCCCTGGTTTGGGTCTACTAAATCATCCTCTGTAAGACCAGAATCATTTATATGATGTAACTTAGTTGGTTTGCACAATTTCCTGGGCTTATTTTAACAGTAACTGTCACAAAGCAGCCATGCTCTGTACTGAACTGTACCTGGCTAAAATGTTCAATTCTGGTTCTGAACACAAGTGCAGAGAACTTAAACCTGCTAAAAACACTGGTCACACTGGGTACTGCTGTCAAAATACTGCAACTTGTAATTAAATTCTTAGCAGTTAAGTGCAAAAATGGAAAATTTGCTAGTTTCTTTGCTGCTGGACACTTCAAATTCCATAGATAACCATAGCACAATACATACACAGTTCATTTAATGCACACTGTATTTATATATTAATATATA